ATTTACATTTAAATGATGAATTTGCAAGTTGCTGAAATTTCCTTTGTGACTCAGTAGGTGAGCTGTTTTATTTACCATTTCACTTGTACTTGAAAATAATGTATTGCCCTCTTTGGTTTTGGGTTTTTTTGTTTTTTTTTTAACCTGCCTTTCTAGGATTTGCATTAAATATAGATATTGCAGAAGACCCAGGTTTGGTTCCCCAGCATCCACATGGCAGCTCACATCTGGCTGCAACTCCAGTTCTAGAGGATCCAGCGCCCTCTTTCTGCTTCCACAGGCATTGCCAGCAAGCTCCCAGGATCCTCCTTCCCCTTTCCCCCATTGCTGGGCTTGCAAACATACCATCACATTTGACTTTTTACATGGAAGCTGGGGATCCAAACTCAGGTCCTGCTGCTTGTGTACCCATACACCCACTGTAAGGTATTCCAAATGACTCAGAATGCTCTCTGGGACCTTCCCCTAACTTGGCTCCCACCCTTTTGCTGCCTATGTTGGTGTCTTCTTCCTAGACTTTCACCTCCATCATGCACATCAGATCTCAGTCAACTGGGACTTCCTGGTTTTAGTAATATCTGAAGTCCATCACCTACCTTCATTGTGTGATATCTCCTGTGTTGAATTAACTGAGAGCACCAGCATTTTCTGTTGTCCATCTCGCTACCTTACTATGAACACTGATTCCTAACAGTTTATGGGAGAAAACGGGAAATGGATTTGAAAAATTAGTGCAAGAAAAGCTGGAGAGATGGTTCAGTGGTTAAGAGTGCTTGCTGCTCTTCCACAAGCCCCATGTGTGGTTCTCAGCACCCACATGGGTCAGCTCACAATTTCCTGTAACAAGACCACCTTCTAGGCTGTGATGGCATTGCAGTCACATGGCATACACACAGAGAGACATTAACACCCACATTTTTTTTTTGCTTTAATTTTTTACTTTATGTGTATGTATGTGTTGTGTGCATGTATGCAAGTGCACTCCTGTCATGCAATGCCCACAGAGGACAGAAGAGTGCATTAGATCCCCTGGAGCTGGAGTTACAGACAGTTGTTAGCCACCATTTGGATTCCGGGATTCAAACCCCAGTCTTCTAGAAGAACAGCCAGTGCTCTTAACTACTGAACCATTTTTCCAGCCCCATAAATACACACTTTTTTTTTTTTAATGAATCTTTTTTACAAAAGAAAGGAGACTTTATCTTAGAAGATATACAGAGCCAGGAATTGAAGCACATGTCTATATTCTCAGCATGTGGGAGGTGGAGGCAGGAGGATCAGGAGTTGATAGCCAGCCTTGTCTTCATCATGAATTTGAGGCCAGCCTGGGCTACATAAAAAAAGCAGAAGTCTGAAGATACACCTTAGTCGTGGAATGTTTGCCTAGCATATGTGAGGCCCTAGGTTAAATCTCCAATACTGAAAAAAAAAAAAAAACAACTCCATCCTTTGAAAAAATGAAATCAAACCTAGTAGTGTGACATCTACGAACAGAAAATAAAGTATAAACAAAAGAGAACAAAAAACTTAGAATCATATCCATGTACAGATGCAGGCATAACACTCATACACAAAATAAAAGTAAATTAATTTTAAAAAGAATATCACAGAAGCAGTGATCATTCTGAATCAGCATGCATGGAAGCAAGACATGTCTTTCTTACAGCTGGTAATGTTAACCTTGACCAATTCGATAAAGTAAAATGTTTTGATTTTCTCCACTGTAAGACTACATTTTTCCATTTTGAAAGTTATTAGTAAGTGGGTAGAAAGACGCTCTTGTTTCTCCTCAAACTTTGGCTCACTAATTTTAGGATTCATCAGAGCTTTATTTCTTTTAAAAAAATTTATCATTTTTATTCTATGTTTATGAGTGTATTGCCTGCATGTATAAATGCACCCATGCAATGCCCATGGAGATCAGAAGAGGGTGTCAGGTCCCCCATAACTGGAGTTACAGATGGTTATTAGCCACCATGTGGGTGCTGGGAACCCAACTCGGGTCCTCTGCAAGAACAGCCAGCACTCTTAACTGTTGAGCCATCTCTCCACCTCCCAGATCTTTCTTTTTTAAAAAGAGACTTATTTTGTTTTTTTTAAAATTATGTGTATGCATGTGTGTCTATGTATAGGTATATGCACATGAATGCAGGTGCCCAAGGAGGCCAGAAGAAGGCATCAGAGCTCATGGAGCTAGAGTTACAGGAAGTTATGAGCTAACTGGCGAGGGTGCTGCAACAGAACTCAGGTTCTCTGCAAGAGCAAGACACACCCTTAACAGCTGAGCCATCTCTCAAGCCCCAGATTCATCAATCTTAACTACAGCAATTAATAGAGTATTCTGTTGGTGATTTTTATTTACTCTTGCTAATTATTACTTAGAAATCTTTTATAGTAGACAGCTATTTGTTTTCCTTCATTTGTAAATTTTTAATTTATTTTTATCAGAATGGATTTTTTTTAAATTCTAAAGTATTGTTCCTTATTATGTGACTCATATTCTTTCAGCTTTGGGAACTTTCAGGTCAGCTTCTATGCCATTTTGACATGTCCCCTGTTTTGTTGTTGTTTTGTTTTGTTTTGTTTTGTTTTAAATAGTTCCAAGCATTACAAGATGCTCTCATCTCATATTCCGTGTCAGAGAGATATGGAATCAACCAAACTCCATATCTCCAACTTTGGAGATATGGAGTTTCATATCTCCAAGGAACTCTGGTTCTCTTTAACCAAGAATTTAGAAAAGACCTGACTGGGTGTGGTGGCACACACTTTCAGTCCCAGGCAGAGATAGGCAGATTTCTGTGAGATCAAGGCCAGCCTGGTCTGCATAGTGAGGCAAGTTCCAGGTCAGCGGGGGCTAAAGGGAGACCCTGTCTTAAGAATACCAAAAGAAAAAAAGAAAGATCTGGGCACTAAGCACCTCAGAGAACAGAGCTTTGGAAATATATCTGTGAACAAACTCATGTGTATATACAAATGAAAATTTATCTATTAAAAAAACATGTAGTGATAATTCTATGGTGGTTTGAATGAATGTCCCCCATAGGCTCCAAGTAGTTGGAAGCTTAGACCCTAGTTCAAGGAACTGTTAGCCAAGTGTCACGGAGCATTTAGGAGGTGTGGCCATGCTGGAAGAAGTACGTCAGGGGTCAGGCTTTGAGAGTTCTTAAGCCTTCCTTGTCAGATTTCCAGTTTTGTTCTGCTTCTTGTGGCTGTTGGGATATGTGAAAATGAGCCTTCTGCTCTGGCCACCTCAGCTGCCATGATGGACTCTTGCCCCTCTGAAACATAAGCCAAACAAACTCTTCCTTCTATAAGCTGCCTTGGTCATGGTGTTCTATCACAGCAACAGAAAAATAACTAATATAATTCTAATTCAAATTGAATTCAGTAAGGTTCATTTTAATATAAGCATTTCATTTCCTTGCTTGTAACTTTTTTCCTAAAGTAACTATTATCTGGCTCTTTTAAAAAATATTTTATTACTTTGCATGTGTGTATGAGTGTATTGTGTGCATGTATGTAAGTGCGTCCATGTTGTGCAATTCTTGAAGAGGTTAGAAGAGGGCATGGGATTCCCCTATAACTGGAGTTACAGGGGACTGCATCATGTGGGTGCTAGGACTCAAACCCAGGTCCTTTGCAAGAGCAGCCAGTGCTCTTAAGTGCTGAGCCATCTCTCCAGCACCCCCCTCTCTCTATATATATATATATATTTTTTTTTTTTTGTCTTTTTGAGACAGTGTCTCCCTGTAGCCCCAGCTGACCTGGAACTCACTATGTGGACCAAGTTAGCCTCAAACTCACAGAGGTCCATCTGCCTCTGCCTCCCAAATTCTGGAATTAAAGACATGCTCTGCCATGCCTGGCCTCTGGTTCTTTTTTTAAAGATTTATTTGTATTTTATGTGTAGAGTGTTTTGCCTGTATGTATGTAAGTGCATCATGTGTATGCAATGCCCATCGAAGCCAGAAGAGGACATTTGATCCCCCAGAACTGGAGTTAGTGATGGTTGTGAGCCACCATGTGGGTGCTGGGAACTGAACCCAGGTCCTGTGTAAGACCAGTCAGTGCTCTTAACCTCTGAATCTCTCCAACCCCCTAATTTTGGATTTAAGTTTGTGATCCTCACAGTTGGTTTCTGAGTTCCATTCTCTCCCACCTCCTCCTTTCTTTGCCTTCTTTTGGGATAACTGAACATTTTTATTATTTCATATTTCTACATTGCCTTACTGTTAATACCGACTTGAGAAAGACACATGTAGCGATCACACTGAGGATTACAATGTTTTGAAAGTAGTTGCTCTACTGCATTATTTAGGAAATAACAAGAAGATAAAGTGTCTGTGCCTGATTAGTACAGAAACAATTAAAAAAAAAAAAAAAGGGTTTTGAAACAGTTTCTCTCTGTAGCCACAACTGACCTGGAACTCACTATGTAGACCAGGCTGGCCTTGCTCTCACAGAGATCCACCTGCCTCTGCTTCCCAAGTGCTGGGATTAAAGGTGTGCACCACCAGGCTCAGCCTTGTTTCAAAAACTTTGATTGGTGGTTGCTGAGCCAAAAGATGGAAGAGTGGTCTGTATTTACCTAAACCTAATCACCTTTGTAAATTAATTATATCTGGTTTGTTTTCTCAAATTATCAGAGTTTTCTCTTTTTAATTAATTTATTTGTATATTTATGAGGCATAAAGAAGAGATAGTTACCACATCACACTTTGCATATGCAGTCAAAATTGCTGAGAATGCTTAGAAAACCTGGACCATCATTAGCTGCACCAGTTATGAGAAATACATAGTAAGTTCTGTTTAGATCAGTTCTCTTCTTGACCCCAAGAGAAGATAATGTTTCTTCCTAAAGAGCAGGATCTCAAGAATGTGTCCACTCCAGGGTAACTTTGCCCTGTTGATGACTGTGTGTTTTGTTTGTTTGTTTGTTTGTTTGTTTTTGGAATGAACTTGTGTGACTCACAGCTGACTTTTTAATGTCTTCACAGATGAGAAGACCTGACCTTTGACAATCAGTGTGAGAAGCCAACTCAAATCTTCAGCATCATTAGCTTCTAGGACACTGTCCTGAAATGAGGGTCCTGACAAAGTATTTTGGTCTGACCTCTTGGCCTGAATGTTACCTGACTCATTGAAATGCGGTAAGCAAGCTCTGACTGTGAACTCTGACCCTGTTCAGAAATCATGCCGTGGAAGACTTCATTATCACTTTCTTCTTAGGATAATGAACCACAGAACTAATGTGCAACAGAAATATGAAGGCTTCATGGGTAAATCTAGAATGGATCTATAAAGACCTTCTTGTTGGCAGGGTCCCCATGAAACACACAGCATCACACGGCAAGAGATTGGGACAATATTTTTTTAATATTTTATTCTTATTATTTTTATTTTATGTGTATGAGTGTATTGTCTGCCTGTTTATAAGTGCACTTGTGTCATACAGTGCCCACGGAGGTCAGAAGAGGTTGTCGGATCCCCTGGAACTAGAGTCACCGACAGTCGTCAGGTGCCATGTGGTGCTGGAGCACCCAAAGCTGTTGAGCCATCTCTCTAGCCCCCAATATTTTTTTTTTAATTGATGAACATTCAAATAATGGACTCCTTCATATGTAGTACAACGATTTTAAGATTTCTTTTCAATGTCCCCCTTCTCATTCTTTGTGCTTTTCTTTTTCGTATTGTACTTTACTATCTACTACAAACACTGGGCAGTGCCTGCTAGTTTTTGCTTTATAGAACTGTTTATCTTTTACAGTAATTAAAAGTATGGGAAAAACCAGTTACACCTCACTTTTATTTATTTTAGAATTCAATTTCTTTGTGCCAGCTAACTTTCTAGGTGCTGTCAGATTCCTTCATAGCAAAGGAAGAACTGCTGGTAAAGAAGTATGTCTTTATCTTTAAAAAGAAAACATTTCTACTCCATTTCTGAAGGTTAATTTTAAAGCCTTTTTAAAGCTTTTATTCTTGTGGAACGGTTTCTGACAGTCTGCTGCAATTCTTATTACAGGTAATTTGCCCTTTCTCTCTGGTTGCTTTGGGGATTTTCTCTTTGTCTTTTATTTTCAACAGTTTGAATGTTGTTTGCTTTCCTTCTTACAGACTTTACCATGTAATCATGGTAATTTTGAATTCACTGTTACAAAATTCCAGTGTCTATATGATTTCTGAACCTGGGTCTGTTATTGCCCTACCTCATATGAATGTGTTATTTTGTCTGTGCCTTTCTGTATGTTTCTTTTGTTGTTGAAATAGGTATATTCTGTACAGTATAGAAGACTTGAGTAAATGATGATTGTTAGGTCCCAGAACCTCAAGAAGCACACCCCCCCACAACCCCAC